GGGGGAAAAAGACACCCCGAAGTCTACATCATTAAACATCATCAACGACATAAGTCTATAAATCCGACCAATAAGATCATAATAAAAGTAATAAGAGTTTAGACTTCTATAACTACTAAACTAGTCTAACTCGATCACTTCTCAACGCTGGGCCCACCTGAAAGGGGTTTTACAAACAACACATAGACAAATAGGAAAACACCCGTTAGCACGAAGCTAAGTATAACCACACTCAACCATGTAAAGTACTATAGAATATACTTTGGAAAAACATTTGTTCACATACTAAGTCAAACAATCTCAACACATAAACAACTGTAGATACATCACAGACTTTCTATATGCTTGCAATCTATAATAACAACATGCATGCTTCAATACAAATGACTTAACAACATAAAGATTCCAACACATAAATATCTCAACGAACTCATGCTTATAAGCAATTTCATACTATTAAACAATACGAAAACTATCGTCATGCTGTCAAGTTCTCATCATGCAAACTGGATATACAAGACTTCAAAATGTAACTAAAGCAATCATGCTCGATATACAATCTAGATTCATCATTCTCATTATGCAATCTCATGCAATACTCTACTCAAATGCAATCTTGTGCAATACTATACTCAAATGCAATCTCGTGCAATACTATAAATATACTCAAACACTCGTTTGTAAAATAGAATACTTTCTGTGGAAGTCTCATTGAGTCATAAATGACTTGCTTTCTTTCTTTCTTTTCTTAGAGTCGCAATGACTCACTTTTTTCTTTCTTAGAGTCGCAATGACTCACTCTTTCTCTTTAAGTGGACGAGGTAGGAACTTCACCATAGTGTGAATGAACCTATCTGGGCACGGCGTCTAGTCGACCTAATACTCTGCTCGTCCACCGAACCACTCTCTTGGTTCTATGCTCAAACCCCGTGGAATCAGGTATCGAACTATTAGCCTGCACACCCCCTGACCAGGATTCCAAGCCTGGCGGGCAGTTTCCAACCTCGTAACGTGGGAATACGCCCCGTTACATATACTGGGACCGCAATGTCCATAAAATCATCCGAGAGGACATAGTCCAAACGGGGTCATCCAAAACCTCATCGATATAGATAGTATATAAATATATCTCTCATGCATCAATCTCATGCATGCAACATCTCAACAACTTCTCAATGCATCAAATAATGATATACCACATGCTTGTGAATTTTGAAAGTAATACTTAGGCTCACGTTGGCCACTTATGCACTTTTGAAATATGATATACTTGAGATGCAAAAATACTCTACAACATGCTCCAAAACATGTATATAATTCATAAAATTCTCAAGAATACAATCTCATGCTAGGCTTGCAACATAACAAATTCTATATAATTCCATCATCAAAATATACTCCAAATCTCATTGATCAAACAACACATTCTAGTCATGCTTTTCTAATAAGTCATATTTTCAAAATGATCATGCTTCTCTACTCAACACAGAAATAAACATTAGACATCAAGGCAAGACATTTCTCTTTTACAGTGAACTTCAAAATACATATTGTATAGCAAAATCATCACTAAATCCATCATAACATGCTCATTTCTAATCCAAATTCAACGAAATCAAAGCCAAAACGTGAGTCGAGACGGCCCCGGGGTACCGAGCCACAAGAGCACGTGACACCTAGCCCGAAACGACACGTAGCTGAGCCACAAGGGCCCGGCCACTGCACAGATCATTCTCAGAGACCAGGGGGCGGGGCTTCTCATGGTCCGCCACAACGCCGGGCCTAGGCAACGGCCCTCTCCTAGGGCCGTGCCCTAGGCCCGGTTGGCCACGGCACTAGCCGGCGGCCTCCTTGATGGGCCGCGGCTAGGGCCGTCACATTCATCTGTGTGCACTAGATGATTCTTTTCATCTGCAAAACACATTCAAGCAAGTCCAAAACATCCAAAACATGATCAACACATCTTAGACAAATACTAGATCACTTCCTAGCTCAAACACAACAAAAATCCACCATTTCTACTCATTTATACTCAAGATAATAGGTTTCACAGAGCCAAAGATTTAAGGGGGAGTCCATGGGTTATACCCTTGTAGATTCCTCCTTTTTGTTGGGATTTCTCCTTCTTCCCAACTAGCTACACCCTCCTTCACCTCCTAGATATGACAAACAACCAAAATAACAAGCCTTAAGAGCTAAGTTCTCAGAGATGGAAGATAGAAATCAAAGAAGCTAGGAGAAGAATGAAGAAATGGAAGCTTACTGTGTTTTCTTGCAAATGTTGGCTTGGGGAAGACAAGGAAGAGAATCAATGAGGCAAAAATCTGATAAGTGTTCTATTTATAGGAGCACAAAACCCTAGGTTGATCCCATATGATTGGTTGATGGCAAAAATGTAATTTCCATGGGTTAGAAAATGAATCAGGAAAGGGTTTTGGATGTTTAGTGGTCCACCATGCTCCATGGACCAAGGGCTAGAATGCTATTTTAAATACTTTGGGGTTGGAAAGGGATTTTCTTAAAAAGTTTTCTAGATGAACACTTGTTTAAGGCTTCTCAGAATTCTCCCGGTCTCACTCAGATTGGTTTCTAAATTTAAAACTTGGTACGCGAAGTACCAGAAAATGTAGGATTTTGGATTAAAAATAAGTTTTGGTGTTGAATTAATGTAAAATGTGTTCAAAATAATTTATTCAAGCACCAATTGATCGCAAAAAAATTTTAACGGAGTGAAAATGGCTATATTGAAATTTCTTAAAATTGGATTTTGAAATAAAATTTTGGGTTGTTACAGTCTCGCTCTCATGGTCGTGAGCTTCAATGGGACAATAATTCCAGTTTGCAGGTTCAGTTGGTCATGGTAGAGATCACGGTCGAGAACTACACCCCACCACCTTTCTAGTATGCAATTTAATTTGGTCACAGTGAGACTTCCGACCGTGAGTCTCACCATGAGCATCCCTGAATTTTTTTTTCGAACCAACACTTTTATTCCCCATTCGCGATTGAGCCTCATTCAACCCTATTCAGTTTCTCTTGTCTCTCTATAAAAAGTAAGTATATTGCCCTAAATTTCCTTTCAATCTTTCACAATCACTCCTAATCTCTTAGTCGAAATTGAGATTCTTCCAGTCGCGTAGTTTGTAGTGTCTAGTCGCATTTTCCCCCTGCAGAATCTCTTCTCTCTTCCATCTAATGCTTCCTCAAGGAAATAAGGTATGATTTATTCAACACTTTGCTATTGAATTCCATAGCTTTCTCATGAAAAAAGTGTTAAGTGTAAACATCTCTTTGCACGTTCAATTTCATTTGAATGTCAAGTGAATCCATTGTCTAAATTGTGGTATTTCAGTTTTGTGATGATGTGTCAATAGGTGTATGAATTGTAATTGCACTATCAAACATGTTCAATTTGCACAAATACCATTACTTAGAAGTTGAAATTGTGCCCTATTGTGCTTTCACCTAGAACCATAGAACCAATTTGGGGATAATTGCTTGAATATTGGGGGTAATTCCAAATGTAGGGAAATTGCTTCAAATTGTCCATATTATGTCAATTTCATTCTGCTATAGTGTTTCATTGTGATATTGTGCTTCCAATTATGTCAATTTGTGAGTATTGAACATAAAGTTGTTGAAAGTTGAACGTATTGGGGAATGCCTTGGCTTGAGATTATTGAAATTATTGTGCATTGCTTCAAATTAAAATTGTTGAAAATAGAATGTGTTGGGGAATAACATTCGCATGCATGATTGTACACTTGAATGTTGCACGGTGATGCCTTTTACAAGAAGTATATGGTATAATGTTTTAGAGGATGTGGTGTAATGCATAACAATAGGAGAAAATGGCATAGTACATTTCAATTAGTACTAACTCTTGAATATGTTTCAACTCCATTGTGTTAATTGATCAATCTCATTGGATGAGAAGCACACGCATGAAACAAACAACCAATGGCCCAAACAAGGGCAAGCCAAAAAGGTCGAGACTGAGTGATGAAGGAACAAGTGGAGGGCAAGAAGAACAAGAGCCCGAAAGGAGACACATAGAGCTCTTGAAAGGAAAAGGGGAGTTATTTTTCACCTTCAAGAGCAAGCAAATAAGAGAAACATATTTCTACAATTACAATGTTCAAGGGAGGTTCGGCCTAAGCGATAGAACCACTATAAAAATCTCACATGAACACTCTCATATATCTATGTGTGTGTGTGTGTGTGGGGGGGGGGGGGGGGAGAGGGGGGAGGTTCACGTGCGAAGGAACTCCTAGGTGAAAATGTGGTGAAATTTGAGTCACTGATATAATCTAGATCAACTACTCAAAATGAAGGAAAATTAAAAAAAAAAACACTTCAGATGAACGATAATCAATTAGTAACTTCAGATGAGAAATGTCTCATGAAGAAGGCCAATTCCTATTGCGCCAACTATCCAGATGAGAGACTCATTTGTTGATTTGCTACTTCAGCTCCGCACATTGCTTCTCTACCAAAATTGTTATTTGACATCGCCGAAGGTTATTGAAACCAAAATATTATAAAAATATAGTAGATCCACTTAAAAATAAGCAAAAACAACAACAACAACAACAACAACAACAAATACAGAATAATGTGCATAACTTTGCAACATAAAGTGTAGAACTATAAACATTAAGGTGCATACTAATGAGCCTACTTTTGTCCAGGCTGCTCCTTTGGCTACTGATGCATTGCCGGAGCAGTTGGAGGGGGAATGTTGTTCTGCATGGTGACAACAACAAACGGAGAAGGGAGGAGTCTACCAGGGTCGGGGGCGGGGTAGACCAAGAAGGTGTTGCACAAGATGTTACGATGACGGAGGCGACAAAAAACTTGCTAATGGCGGGTCCGGAGTGCCAGGCCCGCCCTGCACAATGAGTATCATTAGTTAGAATTGCCGGGGTTTGGGTGGTCCTCGGTCGGTTCGTGAATTGCTGGACCTTGTGTCCAGGCAATGAACCAACTTGGTTTTTGTTATGGAGACCAAGGCGCGTAGAGAAAAGATGGAATGGGTTCAGGTGAGAATGGGTTTTGATGGTATGCTGGTTGTTGGTCGGAAGGGAATGGGTGGTGGTTTGGCGCTTTTCTGGAGAGAGAAGGACATGGTGACTGTGTTGGGGTACTCTGCGAACCATATTAATGTGTCCGTGCATCTGCCGGACAAAATACCATACAGGCTGACATGTTTCTATGGATACCCGGAGCGTGCAAGGAGAGAGCTATCATGGAGACTACTGCGGGGTTTAAAATCGAGCACGGTCATGCCCTGGATTGTGATCGGGGACTTCAACGACATCGCCAGCCCATCTGAGAAAAAGGGCGTGAACCCGTATCCCGATGGGCTTATCCGTGGTTTTAATGACACGCTAAACTACTGTGAGTTATGTGATTTAGGGATGGTAGGGTATCGTTTCACCTGGGATAGAGGACGAGGCACAGATCATTGGTTGGAGGAGCGGTTAGACAGGGCGGTAGGCAATGTGGAGTGGTGTGTTGCGTTCCCTGAAGCTATAATGAGGAATATCCTCACGCTAAACTCGGATCATAGCGCTATCTTTTTGGACCCTGATGGCAGTCCGGTGTGTAGGGTGCACAGAGAGTTCCGGTTCAAGGCCGCATGGTTATTGGATGAGGAATGTAAGCAGGCTGTAGAGAGGGTTTGAGGCCAAAGCAGTGGACAATCTCTACAGGCAAAAGTCTCTACCTGTGGGCAGGAACTTTGGCGGTGGGGAGGCATGATATATAAGAAATTTGGCAGGAGAATGCGGGAGTTGCGTGATGTGCTGGAGAGGTTGCGTGGTCGCAGTGATGCCGTAGCTCTTGCCCGGTTCCATGACGCTGAGGGTGAGCTGCGGCGGTTGTAAGCTCAGGAGGAGTTGTTTTGGCGCCAACGTTCTAAACAATTATGGCTCAAAGATGGGGACTTAAATACTAAGTTTTTCCACAAGTGTGTGACGGCACGTCGGAACAATAATCTGCTGCAACGTTTGCAAGACAGCACGGGGACATGGGTGGATGGCATGGCTATGAACCAAGAGGTCATGAGGTACTACCGTGACATTTTTGCTTCAAATAATTCTCTTGGGAATATTTTCCACTATGTGCCTAGTCGTATCACGCCGGAATGTAATGTGGAGTTATTAAGGCCGGTGGAGTCTGAGGAAGTGAAAATAGCTCTGTTTTCTATGGCTTCTGACAAGGCCCCGAGGCTTGATGGTATGACACCTGCTTTTTACCAAACGTTCTGGACTTGTGTGATTTTGTCAAAGCTAGTTGGGATAATTGCAATATGCTGCCAGTAATGAATGATACTAATGTAGTCTTAATACCGAAAAAGAAAGTACCAATTAAGGAAACGGACTTGAGGCCGATAGCATTGTGTAATGTGGCGTATAAGGTTTTGGCGAAAGTTGTCGCGAATAGTATGAAAGGGGTGCTGGACTCTGTTATTTCATCTTCTCAAAGTGCTTTTGTGCCTAACCGTCTAATAACTGATAATATAATTGTTGCAGGAGGTAGGACATTACTTGAGGAGAAAAAGAGATGGGGTTATGGGTTGGGCAGCCTTAAAATTGGACATGGCCAAGGCCTACGACGGGATGGAGTGGGGGTTCCTTGAGGGTATGCTTTTGGCACTTGGATTCGCCCGCGGGTGGGTTGATCTGGTGCTCTTATGCGTGACCTCGGTACGGTATACTATTCTAGTATATGGTGAATCTGCGGGCATGGTTGTTTCGACAAGGGGCATCCGGCAAGGGGACCCCTTGAGTCCATATTTATTTATTTTATGCGCAGAGGGTTTGTCTTTGCTTCTGCATATAAAGGAATCCCACGGATTGTTACATGGCGTGAGGGTGGCGAGGGGTGCTCCTCCGGTGTCACATCTGTTCTTTGCTGACGACTGCCTTCTGTTTTTCAAGGCTACTCACTCTGAGGCCCAGGCGGTGCGCGATTGTTTAGGCCAGTATGGCGAAGCATCTGGTCAAATGGTGAATTTCGAGAAGTCTAGCATTTTGTTCAGTAACAATACAAGCTTGGCCATGAGGGAACATGTAGCTGCGGTTTTCGGGGTACAACAAGTTGTGGATTTTGGCCGTTATTTGGGGCTGCCATTGTTTCTAGGGCGGAACAGGTCGGCGCTGTTTCGGTTTGTTGAACAAAAGGTTCGGGACAGGGTGGGTTCATGGCAGCAAAAATTGTTATCGAGGGCCGAGAAAGAGGTGCTATTGAAGAGTATTGCCCAGGCAATGCCTGTTTTTACGATGTCTGTTTTTCTACTGCCTAGGGGGACTTGCACTGCAATTGAGAATGTTTTGAACAGGTTCTGGTGGCAGCATGGCGGGGCGACCGGGGCGGGGCGTGGTATCCATTGGTGTAGCTGGGTTAGAATGGTTGTGCCTAAGGCGTATGGTGGGCTTGGTTTCAAGCGTCTACACGAATTTAATGTGGCATTACTGGCCAAATAGGGATGGCGTATTTTGACAACCCCCGGTTCTTTGATGTGTAAGGTATTAAAGGCCAGGTATTTCCCCCGTGACTGTTTTTTAAATGCTGAACTGGGCTCTAACCCGAGTTATCTTTGGCGGAGCATTCTTGAGGGGCAGTCATTACTCCGACAAGGTGTTGTGCGTAGGGTAGGCGATGGGTCGAACACACTCGTGTGGGGTTGGCCGTGGTTGGCGGATCACTCGGAACCCAGCCTGGAAACTGTCTGTGTTGAGGAGTTAAAATACGCCAAGGTAGCAAATCTACTCACTGATGCAGGTGCTTGGGATGAAGATGTCATCACTGACTTGTTTTGTGCTCATGATGTTGAAAGAAGCAAACGTACGCCGATCTCCTTGGCCTATGCTAATTCCTGGGCTTGGAAGGGTGATGTATGTGGGCAATATACAGTAAGCAATGGCTATCGTTTACTTATGAGTTCTGCGCCTTTGTATGTCCCTCCTGGGGTGTTTGCTGAATGGAAACGTTTATGGAAGCTCCTAGTGCCACCCAAGGTTAAGAATTTTTTATGGCGGTGTGTACGCCACATTTTGTCCGTAAAGGATGTGTTGCGGTCTAAGCACGTATGGGTAGGAGGGGGCTGCCAGTTTTGTTCCTCGACCACGGAGATGGTAACTCACTTGTTTTGTGTTTGTGTGGTGGCTAAGCAGGTGTGGGGCGCTAATGAGATCTTGCATGGGAAAACCTTCAATGTTCTCGTTGAGGATATTTTGTGTAGGGGGGATGTGGAGGAGGAAGTATGTATGGCAGCAAGGTTATGGGTTATTTGGCTGGTACGTAATGACAGTGTGTGGCATAGGAAGGTTTGGACAGTAGCAGCCATGATTAACACGGTGAGATCATTGATTGAGGAGTGGAGGGTGTTGCGGCCTGCTCTCGTGCATGCGGCGCGTTTTGATTCAGGGCCTATGGTCGAAAACCATGCGGCGCCGGGTTTTATTATTTGTAACGTTGACGCGGCGGTCACCGGGGGTGTGGCAACGTATGGGGCTGTTCTCCGCGACCATGGTGGACATTTTGTGGCGGCACGGAGTGGTACGTTGATGTGTGGTGACGATCCGTACTTGGTAGAAGCTTTGGCAGTTAGGAAGCATTGACGTGGATTAAAGACCGTCCGGCTCTGGGCTATATTGTTCAGTCGGATTATTTAATTTTTTGTAATAACTTTAATTCGTCAAAACTTGATTACTCTTATGTTGGTCTGATTGTTAAGCAGTGTCTTAGGACTGCTAGAGACATTAGGAACGTCTGTGTTCGCCATGTCAGAAGGTCAGCGAATCAAATTGCTCACACGCTAGCGCGGGTAGCTGGTTCATCCTCTTACCTTGGAGAGTGGTTTATAACGCCTCCAGATTGTATTTCCGATCTTTTCTAATATATTTGGTCTCGTTTTCTTTAAAAAAAAAAAAAAAAAAAAAGGTGCATAACTTTGTACCTTAGAGTGCTAACTTTGAACATTAATATGAACAACTTCAAACTCATAATGTGCTTAACTTTGTAACTTAGAGTGCATACCTTTGCACCTTAAGATGCATAATTTTGAATACTTGAGTGCATAGCTTCTCACCGGGTTTTAAAAAAATAAAAAGTTTCGCACCTTAAGGTGTATAACTTTGCAATTAAGGGTGCATAAATTTACACCGTAGGGTGAATAATTTTGAATACTCAGGTGCATAGCTTCGTATCTGATTTTCCAACACAAAAAAAAAAAAAAAAAAAAAAAAAAAAGCTTCACACCTCAAGGTGTATAGCTTTGTAACTTGAGGTGCATAACTTTACAACTAAGGGTGCATAAATTTGCAACTTAAGATGCAAAACTTTGAACATTTAGGTGCACAACTTTAACTTGTAATGTCCATAACTTTGCATCTTACGAAGAGAAACTATTCACTCAAAGAAGAAACAATATGCACTCGTAGAAAGAACAATATGCACTCGAAAAAGGAAATAATGGACCCAAATAAAAAATGAACTTACACAAAATTACCAAAATACAACCACGTTTAAAAAAAAAAAAAAAAAAATCTTCAATCTAGACGAAATCAATGGTTGATTTAACCTTATATATATATATATATATATATATATATATATATATATATATATATATATATATATATATATATATATATAAAGGATCAAGTGAAAAAGAAGCCTTAGGTGAAAAATAGAATGTAATCTCATCCATTGATTTAGATCAGATCAACGTCTATAATAAATCAATTTAAAAAAAATGCGGTGGCATTATAACAATTTTGTGTAAGTTAGTTAATTTTTTTTTTCTTCTAGTCCTTCTAGTGCACATTGTCCCTTCATCCAGTGCACATTGTTGTGCTTTCGACCTTTAAGTTCGTAGGTGTTATATACACACACACACACACACACACACACACACACACACACACACACACACACACACACACACACACACATATATATATATATATATGTATATATATATATATATATATATATATATATATATATATATATATATATATATATATATATATATATATATATATAGGGTTGCATTCAAATACAACTCTCTTACAATACAAATCCCCTTAAAATACGAACTTGAACTTGTGCACACATTAACATACTTATATGCACACATGGCGCACTGTTAATAATTTCTGGGATTAGCTCGTGCACACATTAACATACTTACGTGCACACAGCGCGTAGGAGGAAAAATCACAACCATCCATCAAAGCTCATGTACACATTAACATACTTACATGCACATAGCACGTATGGGGAAAAAATCACAACCATCCATCAAAGCTCATGCACACATTAACATACTTACATATACACTGGGCACACTGCCATCAATATCTAGGATTAGCTCGTGCACACATTAACATACTTACATGCACACATTAATATACTTATATGCACACAGTTTGTATATATATATATATATATATATATATATTTTTTTTTGGTTCAAATGAGAACATGGCTTCCCGTGCGGTCGGTGCGGTTTACACCATTAGGTATGAATAAATACACCACACAGTGTTCGAAAAAACTAGCATGGAACCCATCCACACCCGGGGCTTTGCATGGCGCCCTGTCGAAGATATCTTGTTTGATTTCTGATGAGTTAAACTAGGGGTGGGCGTTTCGGGTTTCGGTTTGATTTTTTTCAGTTTCGGTTTCGGTTTCGGTTTTTCGATTTTAAAAAAGTTAAACCATTCGGTTTAACATTAGGGTTCGGTTCGGTTTCAGTTCGGTTTGAAACGGTTTGGATTTAATTCGGTTCGGTGTTCGGTTCGGTTTAAGATCCCCAAATTTCAACATTTCCTAATTTTTCGAACATACTACCAAACAATACATATTCACATAATGCAAATTCAAACTCTAAACATTATATAACAAAATAGCAATCCAAAGTTTAAACACAATACTAAGGACTAATTACCAAACATTAGTTAACGTTTTTGCACAACCGACTCTTCAGTTGGTTCAGTTGGAATATTTTTATTGATAAGATGAATAATCATCTATCTGTATAGTTGAATAGTTGATATTAAAAGAACTAGTGTCAATTACTATATAGTTAATTTTTGGACAAAATCTATCATTGCTAGTGCACTCGAAATATATTCCAGTACTAGAAAATAATTATAGTGCACTGGAAATCAAAATTAGAATGAATGTAAAGCACATTAAATTTATAGAAAAACATGAAACTAAGGAAAATACTGAATATTGTAAATATAAGTCAAGTTAGATATAATTGTGAGGTAAAGAACAATTGCGACAAACAACAAAAGTGCAATGTAGAAAACAAGCTATAAAGAAATCAAATAAAAAAATGTAAGGTTCGGTACTAGTAAGAATAAGAACTGAACGACGGAGCAGGCAGGAACTTGGATTTACTTCTTCTTCTTCTTCTTCTTCTTATTATTATTATTATTATTATTATTATTATTATTATTATTATTATTATTATTATTATTAAAATTATATAGCACTCGGATCGGTTCGATTTTTGCCAAACCGTTTGGTTTCGGTTCGGTTCGGTACTAAACCGTTCGGGTTACAAAATTTCGAACCGTTCGATTTTCTATTACTAATTCGGTTCGATTAGTTCGGATCGGTTCGGATAAACCGAACTCAAGTGCCCACCCCTAAGTTAAACGACTCGTTAACTTGCTTCCATAGTTCCAGTGGAAGGGATGGAAAATTCCCAGTTAGAGTGCCCTGGGGGGTGTGTGCCTCTTCTGAAAATAATGTCATAAAGTATCTGCCTATGTGCTCTATCATCTATTCTTCATCGAGAAACCAATTCCCTTCATCATCTTTCAAACTGTTAATCTTCACAGCACCTTTTTTAGCTGCTGTTATGGCATGATAAAATCTTGTATTGCGATCCGCAGAGGTTATCTAATCCTCACGGGACCGTTGAAATCGGAGGAGCTCATATTGAAAGAGGATATCTTCCAATTCCTTGCACAGCTTCCGCTCAAGTTTCAGCAGGTTCAAGCTAACTTGAAGATTCAGTCTTTTCTGCACTCCATCAATCCTTGCTAAGACGCGCTTTTTCCTATAGAAGATGTTTCTAAAAGTTGATCTATTCCATTCATCAAGTTTGGCAGCCATGGTGGTCTTGTTGGACTCAAGACTTCCTTTAGACCATAGGCTGATTCTACAATAGTGTTTCCGGGACCATTTCTTGATCTGGGATGGTGTTATCGTCAGAAGTGCTTTTATCTCGCTTTGTCTTCTTCGAGCTTCGTTCAAGGGGTTCTTGAACTTCCGGCGATAGTTGGCCAGTATCCGGTGGATCGGTTGAAGAGAGCATTCTCTTTTTGTATTTACGACTTATTTATGTTTAAGTATTTAACAAAATATACACATACATAAAAATAAAATAAAAGATATAAAAGGAATTATCAAATAAACGAGGAAGAAAAAACCTACACCAAATATGGCATAGATGTACACTGCAGTGTTGTATATGGTGTTGCACTAATCATCAACACTGCAAAGTATATGCCACTTTCCCATCTTTGTTAGAGCTCTATTGTGCCAAAATTTACACTAAAATAATGCCGATTTCCCATCTTCATTAGAGATGCTCTTAGTCCAACAAAGCTATCCTTAATGGATTGATTTCACTAACCTTATTGGCTTAACCCATAAAACCATCTTTGGAGTAGATGACTTAGGCCGAATGAACTTAACTTAACAAATTAAAGTCATTTCATTATCTGTATGGCGCGACTTTGGATGGATATCCCCTGCCAATTGAGGTCCTCCTAAATTATTGATTGGACTCAAATAAAAATACTACAAAGTCAATATAATTGAGTATATTATTGTAGGACTCAAAAAAATGTCGAGTGAATGGAGTAGTTAGAAAGTGTTTGATTCAATTGGCTATCACATGAATATTGTTGTAGGATTTCATGTGTGTGTGTGAGAGAGAAATAACTTTATTTCGGTCAAAATCCGTGTTCCGATCATTTGATGTGGTTGGAAAAATCTTCGTCGCTATTTTCGATCACCACATGAAGTGGTCGGAAATAATTTGGTCACTCAGCAAGAATTTAGGGATGGCAATTTCAATCCGCCCTGTGGATATTCATCCGAATCCACCCCGCATGGATCGGATTTTTTTAGGTGGTAGTGGGTGGTGGGTCGGGGGTGGGTCTTAAAAAAAATAAACCCGCGGTGGGTCGGATTGGATTCGGGTTGTATGTATAAAACCCGCTTAGAACTCCACCCGATCCACCATGTAGTTATTTATAAAAGTTTTTATAACTTCATGTAAAGTTTTACTATTTTTATATCTAAACTAATAAGTTTATTTTTAAAAGTTAACAATTTAGTTATTATATTTAAATATTTCTATTATTTTATGTTTTATATAACTAATGAATTTTATTATTTTATTATGTGTAGATAATTTAAATATTATTTTTTGAAAAAAATCATATTAAGATTATAAGTTGTGGGTACCCGTAGTGGGCACCCGCACCCGATGGGGGTGAGGTGGGTTTTGAAAAAGTCCATCCAATACAGGTTGGGGGTGGGAGTGAGTGGAGAAAATATAAGGTGGGTCGGGTGATGGATGTAGCCCTTCCCGACCCACACCCGACCCTTGTCATCCCTAAGCAAGATTATAGGCCAGGGTTCACAATTTCCGACCACAGGTGGTCAGAAATTAGTGGTCGGAAACATCCACCAATTAAATATTATAAATTGAAAAAAATCCGCTAAAAAAAAACAAAAGAAAATGAACAAGTTGAGGGTTTCAGATTAATATAACAGAAACTGGTGAGAGTTTACAGCATTATCATACCCATAGTGATTGTATAACATGTAATCACAACATAATATGCTAAGAAGTAATCAATCAACTGGAACTGGTTGCATGGCCTCAGCCTCTTTCCTGAGATTTTCATAAAGGACAGATGACAAGTACCGCTCCCCAAAGCTTGGATGCACAGTCTGAGATTTAAAACAGGAAGATCCATGCACAAAAGTGTCAGAAGATTAATGGAGGAAACAAATCATTGAAGATGCATCAAATATTTCTCATACCACAATGAGTTTTCCTTTGTTTTCTGGTCTGCTGGCAAGTCTAAGTGCAGCTACTGTATTAGCCCCCGAAGATATCCCGACCTACATGCTTTAAAGTGTTAGGATCAAGCACTTATTACTTAGGCTAAAAGCGGACACTGGGTGCTGGACTTGGCCTTTACCCTGGGAGCCTCCGCCCAACAATTCCCTCTCCCAGCACTAACCCGTCACCTGACTCTAATACCAGGTGTTAGGATCAAGCGCTTATGCCAAAAGCTCTAACTAGTAGCGAATTCACAACTTTATTTCCTTATACACCATCATCACATTTTTGAGACGCTAGGTGCTGGATTTGGCCTTTACCCTTTATTGGCCTCCGTCCAACAATCCCCCAGTCACCGGGATCACATTTTCGAGACGCTGGGTGCTGGATTTGGCCTTTACCCTTTATTGGCCTCCGCCCAACAATCCCCCAGTCATCGGGTGCTAGATCGACTTGGCCTTTACCAGCCTCCGCCCAACAGAAAGGATCATTATATGGCATATCAAACAATCGAAAGATAAATGTGACCATATTTATTGCCTAGAGTTGCAACAATTTTGAGAAATTACCATGAGCCCTTCCTTCAGTGCCAACTCTCTGGCCATGTTCACTGATTCTTCGCTGGAAACCTGCAATGTATAACATATATTTAACCAGATACTCAAGCTAAGCACTATTCCAACATAATGTAATTTCATAGTTTTTGTAGTTATAATCACTATATACAATAGTACAAGCTAAGGATTCCATTTTGGCATTCAAATAATAACAGCAATAAATTAGAGTTTACCATCAGAACTTCTTCCATTACATCCATGTCAAGGATATCTGGCTTGAACCCCACCCCATTTCCAGTTATGTGATGGGGACCTACAACGCAACGAAATTTTCGAAATTGATCAAACAATTAAGGAATTTCCGCACAATTAAGGTCAAGTGATTGTCCAAAACAGGATAAGGTCACATAATTCACCTGGCTTGCCACCATTTAGTACATTGCTTTCAGTTGGCTCAACTCCATATATCTATCAAAAAAGCAAGCGAACATAAAACGTCTTTGCATTATAGTTCCTATAAGTTTGAGCAACCACAGAGCAATGCAAACTGGAAGCAACTTTGTTGAGATTAACAAGAACAAAAAACAATAACAATGACAGAAAATAAGGAAGACAAGATTTACGTGGTTCGACAATGTGTCCTTCGTCCACGGGAGTGAAACTATATGCAACACTAAACATGCAGAACAACTGCACAAGTATAAAAATACCTATGTACTATAGGCCGACCCAACCGCTCCACTCATATTCCTTATATGAAACATACTCAACATACCTTAACATTGGGGTTTTGGGATTTCAGATATTGCCCAACACCCGAGACAGTGCCACCACTTCCTATTCCCATGACGAAAATATCAACATTACCCTGAGTATCTTCCCATATTTCAGGACCGGTCGTCTCAAAATGTATCTGGTTCCAATAGCAATTCATTGAAATATCTATCAGCCTTTGCAAGTAAACATGTCGCAAAGATTTTAGGGGAAAAAATTCAAAAAAGGTGCATACTTGAGTATTGGCAGGATTGGAGAACTGTTGAAGCATAAAGCCATTTGGTGTGGATTCCAAAAGGTCATAAGCTTTCTTCACAGTTCCACCCATCCCCTTGGCTGGATCTGTAAGTACTAAATCAGCTCCAAACACTCTCATTGTGACCCTTCGCTCAATGCTTGTGTACGACGGCATTGTCAAAACCATTTTGTATCCTTTCATCGCAGCAATGAATGCCATACTGATCCCCATATTTCCGGATGTCGGCTCAATTAAGGTTGTCTACAAATTTTATCCAACAGGACAACGAAAAAGTTACGAGACTTTGGTTATCAATAAAACAAGCAGGCAATGGGCGCTAGCTGTTACCTTTCCAGGTGTGATCAAACCTTTCTTTTCTGCATCAGCAATCATGGCCATTGCTGGTCTGGTAGGGGCAAAACAGATTACAGCATCAACACATAATACCAATATACACATGGTCGAAGTAACCCTAGTCAAGATGGCTAAGGATACACACTTGTAACCACAAAGTCACGAGTTCGAATTTCAGTATTCTTGGTTTGAGCCAACCAACTATGAACAACTTAGGCTGGTTTACCTCTCTGTAGTCTTTTGCTGGCTAGGGTCACAAGACGGGATATGTCCAGTGCAGTCAATTGGTTATAGACAACCTAGACTGGTTTATGGTCTTTTGCCGACTGGGGTCATAAGACAGGATTTACCCAGTGCAGTCAATTGGCTATAGGCAACCTAGACTGGTTTATGGTCTTTTGCCGACTGAGGTCATAAGGCAAGATTTACCCAGTGCAGTCAATTGGCTATAGACAACCTAGACTGGTTTATAGTCTTTTGTCGACTGGGGTCATAAGGCGGGGTTTACCAAGTGCACACCCTTGGGTAGTGGCTGCGGGTTTCCCTAGTCACCCCAAAAATATACAAATGGTCTAATGATTTTATATAGCTGTATATGAAGATGTTATTAATTAAAGACAAGTAATTAACATAATACCGGTCCTTGATGCTTGCAGTAGGCTGCATCATTTCTTGTTTAGCAGCTATATAAGCACCACAACCTTCGGTAACTTTGTTAAGATAAACAAGAGGAGTCCTCCCAATCAGCTGACACATGAAAAATATGCATTCATTTTGTAGTTCACAGTATACAATTGTTATAATTTCAGGAAAAAGCTGCAATTTTACTGCGAAAATGTTTTTCTCTTCTAGAATATTTAAACATTCCTCCACCCCACAACGGTATTACAAACACTTTTAACAAGTTACTGTATTTAAGTTTTCAGTTTTATCTTTCAAAAAGAAGTTTTCAGTCGTGACGGGTCAATAAATAACTCCGAAAAATTAAACTTGTAATATTGTAATTACCAAATCAACACAATTAACATGACTTAGATTACCTTAATGGAACTTCTGTAAAACATTTATCTTTAAAGTCATTTATCGTAAATGAAAAAAAGAAGAAGAAGAGTTTTTTAGTACTTTGAGAGCACAAGATGTTTGCCACATAGTACAGGTTTTTGATTTAACAAAAGAAACAAAATAATGAAATTACCAAAACACCCCCATACATTTCATTTTTAGAAAAAAGAAAAAAAAAAAAAAAACCACCAAAGTTACCAGGTCAGAAAAATCTTTATTTATTTTTTAATGGGTAAATCAGAAAAGAAATTAGCATTTATCAAACCCTTTGTTGACTGAAAGTACATGAAAAGGTCAAATGCCAAAATATCTTATCATGCAACTTAAATTTAAAACGAATAAATAACCGAAGATCAAAAAAAAAAAAATTAAAGAACCAAACACAATAACAAGTTTCTTAATTTAGTCAAAAACTCCATGTTCCTCCAATGAATGAAGGTTGGCAAGGAAAAGTAGGTTGGGTAAGAAATGGTATTCTATCCCATAATTTCCCTAAAAAATCACCAGGAATTGGGCAGAAGAAGCTCAAGATTTGGTCTGGTGTTTACTACAGCAAGCAAATTAAACCAAATTAATTACCAAAAACTGCTGAAAAATTGTAGGCAAAATAATTGTGTTTAATGGGTTGATCAAAATTAAAGTTTGCAGTGTACCTGAGAGGTTTCCTTCTTGATGTTAGTGGCAGGGAAATCCTTAGGGAGATCTCTCAATCTCTGGGCAAAAGAATGAGCCAAAGGTTGGCCTGCGTTGAAGAATCTAGTGTTGAAGATGCTGGGTTGGAGGAAAGATCTTCGCTTCATCAAGTTTGTTAAAGCAGCAGCCATTATTGATTGAATGCAATACACTCTCTGTACATCAAGAATCAGAGATTGGGCAGCCTTTTATAGGGAAGAAGGAAGCAAATTTTTGGAACCCAGTGGTGTCTGGTGTGGTGTATTTCAATATAAAAACATGGCGTATACTATAATAAATATAAAAAATTTTCTGGTCCGGTTTGGTAAATGGTAAATGGTGTTAGTTGATAGTGGTTAGCTGTTAGCTGATTGGGTTAATTAGAAGGTATAAATTTGTTGATAACGATAGCTGATTGTAAAAATGAGTTTGGTAAATTAGTTGTTAGCTGATAGCTGTTTGATATAATTTATTTTTTCAAAAAGTTAATTGAAAAAGTTGCTTTGAACAGTTTTTTTTTTTTTATTTTTAGCATTTTAGAGTTACAAAAAGCTAATTAACCAAACACTTATATTAATATTTTAACCAAATTAAAAAACTAATAGTGATCAAATAAGCCAAAATTAACCTATATGCTAACTATTTTACCAAACATGGCCTTAGGCTTTTTGTTTTGAAACAATTATATATATATATATATATATATATATATATATATATATATATATATATATATATATATATATATTTATTTATTTATTTATTTATTTATTTATTTATTTACACAAAGGCACCAGTATATTAAATCAACTCCGAAATACAAGACGGTGGGCGGTCATTCCACACACCTAGGACAGAGTCTGAAACAGTAGCCCGTACTAATACATGAGTTACCTGGTTCCCTGACCTCTTGACATTGCGAACCAACACGTTCCCAATGTCTCTAGCAATTACATGGCATTTCTTAATAATTGAACCGACATAAGATAATCGACGTGAAAGGAATTATAATTTGTACATAAGTTTTGGCAATCAGATTTCACTATCACGTTCGGCCTTGACTGATTCTGTACCCACGTTAAGGCCTCTTTGAGTGCCAAAGCCTCCGCTACGTATGGTGTTTGCTTGCATATCAGCCATCCGCTCTTAGACCCTATAAAACGACCTCCATTATTTCGGAGGACCGCTCCAAATCCAAGTCCAATATATATATATAATACTACTATATATAATACTAGTTTTTACACGCGCATTGCGCGAATGAGTTAATGCCTAATGTTTATAATTAAATAAATATTTGAAAGTATATTAATGCAAGATTATATATGAGAAGTTCATACATAAGTAATTTAATGTCGAATTTGTTTATTTAAATATGTAACTCATAATATATGAATACAAAGATTCACTATAATTTTTTTTTTTTTAATACTAAAACTATTACAATGTAGTATCTGTTCTTATAACTACTTTCTCAACCAAATGAAGCACAAAAAGTCAATATCGCCTTCATTGAGACTCAAACCAACAACTGCCCCTATAAAGGAGGAACCTGGTACCATTGGACCACAAGGTCCTTGGTAAGATGCACTATAATTGTTACTAAACTTTTTTTTTTTTTAAATAGTAACCAAGTATTTTTTTTCTTGCAAAGGGTTCTAATAAGTTTAATGAATGCACATATATATACAAGATCAATGAATGAATTAAAGGTACCAATCTGTCTAAGTGTTTTGTTCTGTGTTCATTTTCTTTTTTAAATACTCATAATTCTTTAATAAAGTTAAATAATAAAATAAAGGGAAAATGGTCAAATAGGCCTTCGAACTTTACCTTAAAAGTCAATTAGGCCCCCAAACTTTTTAAAGGTGCAATTACACCCATCAACAATTCATTTAGGTGCAATGAAGCCCAAAAACAAGTTAATGACCTGCTATCACAGGTCATTAGAGTTCAGGCCACCTTCCGGTGAATTTTTTGGCAAAAAAAAGTGACCAGCAACCGACCCAGATTTACCGAAAATTTCGCCGATCACTTTTTTGTTGGAAATTTAGCCGGTCACTTTTATTATTTTTTTTTTTTTGGCAAAAAATTCACCGGAAGGTGGTCTAAAGCCTAATGACCTGTGATAGCAGGTCATTATGTTTTTGGACTTCGTTGCATTTAAATGAATTGTTGAGGGGTGTAATTGCACCTTTAAAAAATGAGGTAATACCATTTGAGGTCCTCCGAGTATAGTGGTTTTGCCACGTTTAGTCCCAAACTTTCAAATTGACCATCTGTGGTCCTTCGAGTTTCAAATTTAACCACTTGTGGTCCAAGTTAACCATCTATGGTCCTTCAACTATTAAAATTTGACCAATCATGGTCCTTTCAACAGGACTACCACTGGTTAAATTTTGAAACTTAAAGGACCATGGTTGGTTAACTTGGACCACAAATGGTTAAATTTGAAAGTCGAAGGACTACAGATGGTCAATTTGAAAGTTTAGGACTAAACGTGGCAAAACCATTATACTCGGAGGACCTCATATGGTATTAACTCTTTAAAAAATTTAAGAACTTAATTGATTTTTAAACTAAAGTTGGAGGGCCTATTTGACCATTTTCTCTAAAATAAAAAAACCCGTCTGAAATAAATAAATACTTAAACGTAAAAAAAATGCAATCCAACCTTAGGCATAGCAGCCATTATTATTATTATTATTATTATTATTATTATTATTATTATTATTATTATTATTATTTAAACCAGCGGCCATTATTATTACTATTTTTTTTTTTAAAACCAGCAGCCATTATTTAGTTTGCTTAAGTAAAAGATTCGAGAACTTTCAAAGACAATTGTCGTAACAGTCTTTTACGAGTGTTTCCAAAAAAAAAAAAAAAAAAAACAGTCTTTTACGAGAAGGACAGAGACAAAACTTGATCAGTGCTTGGAATAATTGCACAAGTAGTGCAATTTGTGGGTTTATAATAATTTCTTTTATTAATATTTTCACTCATTAATCCTACTTTATATTGTATTTTCTATATATATATATATATATATATATATATATATATATATATATATATATATATATATATATATATATATATATATATATAAAGTGCGGAAAGGGTTTCCCGTGCGGGTGAACACACATTAAGTATTAAATCGACACATTTTAAGTACACAACACACGCATATTAAGCACACAAACAAAATACCGTAAGAACACAAACACATGCATATTAAGTACAAAACTCACGCACCTTAAGCACAAGACTCATGCACCTTAAACACAAAACTCACATACATTAAGCACAAAACACATGCACCTTAAAGTTTCAACAACAACTCACATTAAGTACACACTCACGCACATTAAATACAAAACTCACGCACCTTAAGCACAAGACTCATACATCTTAAGCACAAGACTCATACACCTTAAACACAAAAGCACAAGACTCACGCACATTAAGTACAAAACTCACGCACATTAATCACCCGCACAACGGGAGTCACTTACCCGCACTGAAACTTATATATATATATATATATATATATATATATATATATATATATATATATATATATATATATATATATATATATATATATATATATAGGCCAGGTTCATGTAAGAACAGGTCTTCCCGTGCGGTCAGTACGGCATACACCATTAGGTATGCATAAATGCACCACACAGTGTTCGAAAATACACTATTATGTGTGGTGTATTTTTTTTTGTGGTGCATTTTTTGACATTTCATTCTGGTGTATTCTTGAACACTGTATGATGCATTTATGCATACCTAATGGTGTATGCCGCACTGACCGCACGGGAAGACCTATTCTCACATGAACCAATATATATATATATATATATATATATATATATATATATATATATATATATATATATATATATATATTCATGTAAAAACATGGCTTAAAATACAAACGTGTGTACATTTCTGGATTGTTGGATTTTTGGTATCTAAGGTTGTGATTAGTTTTTATGATTTTGTGTGCTGCCCGCCTGTGTGCACTGTCGTTCATGGATGTGTGCACGCCGGCAATACTGTGGATTCACACATGTATACTACATTGAATATGTGCAATGTCGTCCATGGATGTGTGCATACCCACATTTTGGTGTGTGCACGGTATATGTCGATGTTTGTATTTTAAGGGTGTTTGCATGTGAATGCAACTATATATATATACACACACACACACACACACACACACACACACACACACACGGGAGAAACTCAAAAGTCACTACTCGAAGATATGCACTGACTAAATCTCACTCATATCTAATAATATGCAAACCATATAGGAAAAGGTAAACCGTACTAAAAATACCTTATGCGACGAGCTCGACTAAGATTGTATTGTTAAGAATCAAAATCATGATGTTCAAGTATGAGAATCATGTTCTACAAACTTGATCACTCATTTTGAGGCTTGAATATATATCTTGCTCACAAAATGTAAAATTCCTCCCACACCTCTAGAGCCCCTACACTCCGGCTTAAGAGGGTACTAGAGAGATAAATCACACTAACTTAACATCCAATTAGGTGAGAAAACCAGAGTTAAGTGCCACAAGGAGTCCATCAAATTGGGTGTAACTCCGATATTACGATTACATACCATAGTTCCATCATGTATCTTTATCGACAATCTACCACTTAAGAACTAACTAATGTTTACTTAACATGTCACATGATGTTTACATTAAAAAAGAAAAATGGCATGTACTATTAATTTAATTACTTTTTTAAGTTCACATTTCTAGTTAGTATTAAAAAAAAATAATAATAATAAGAAGGTCCAAATTGGCTACTGAACGTATGGATGGCAACGGAGTGGGGCGGGGGCGGGGAATGGGATCCTTGAAATGTCTCCCCATTTTCTGTCCCCGTTCCGTTCTATTGCGGGGATGGAGAATTATTTTCATCCCCGTTCCCGTGGGAATTTTTCGAAGACGGGGAATCTTCGTCTCGTTTTTAATTTATGCCTATTAAAAAGAACTAATATTATACTTGAAACAAGATATATATATATATATATATATATATATATATATATATATATATATATATTCAGTAATCTAATTTTAGAATATATATATATATTCTAAAATTAGATTACTGAATATATATATATATATATATATATATATATATATATATATATATATATATATATATTTTAAACTAAGCAAACTAAGAGGATTAACTACAGAAGATTAACATT